CAGCTCTTCTAGCCGGCAGGTACCACTGAGTCAGCCAACACTGAGGGGCAGAAGAATCATCACACACACTCCAGACTTGAAATGTCCCCTATGACGAACGTGGTGACTTAAGTCAGTAAGTTTTCTTTTCCTTTAAAAAAAATGCTTTGTGTCTTTCTTACTTGGTTAACATTTTTAAATCTTTAATGTTTTCATTAGCATATATTGATTATACATACTGAGTTTCATTGTGGCATTTCAGTACATGCAGATAACTTATTTTGATGCTACTCAGCTCATTACTCCCTCTTGTTCCCCTCCTGCCCCTCTGATTCTGGTTCTCTTCCTTCCGAGTCTTCCTTCCACCTTCACGCCTTTTTTAAATGACCCGGTGAGTTCCATTAGGGTTCATTACAGGAGCATGGGAGGGGGCTGTTTGCAGGAGCACGGGTAGGGCATTGGTTACAGGAGCATGTAGCTTATTAGGGCTACACTATTGAAGAAAACATCCCTCCTTCTGAGCCGAGCAACCATCACTTGCCTATAAATGCTCGGTGAGAGGTGGGGCTGCATGGGTCCCCCCCTCCCCCAGTCTTGTGCAGGTAAAAACAGTTGCTATACATGCAAGACTGCAGCAGCCCACGCCACGCCCTAAAGTCAACATTCCACACTACTCCCACCTACTTCCCCCAGACTATACATTCCGGTTAGACAGAGTCTCACCCATGTGGTGCAGGCTGACCTTGAACTCACGGAGATCTATCTGTCTGCCTTCCAAAGACTGGGATTAAAAGCATGCACTACCATGCTCAGCTCAGTTCTCACATTTCTTTAAACATTTATATTTTGTTTGTATGGATGCTCCTCCATAACAGTGTCTGGGGTCAGTAGGCACGTTGCAGGACTCAGCTCTCATCAAATTCAGATCACCAGCACCTAGCCATGTCACTGGCCTCTTCCATCATGTCTGCCCCTTCTACATGCTCCCTGAGCCTTGGAGGGGGTGATATAGTTGTCCCATTTAGGATCAGTTCTGACTCAGCAGTAACCACTGCTCACCACAAAAAGAAAAAGAAAACTAGTGTTTGTCAGCAAAGCTGAGAACAGCACTAACTCACAGGCACAAACAGAGTTGTTTAGAAAGAAAGTCTGCCAGGCACACCGTGTCCACTTAGCAAAACAACAGAGCCTTTCCCATAGGCAAGCCAGGAAGTGTCGGAGCAACATGTTCCAGAAGAGTAAACAGCCAGAACGGAGCATGCGCACAGGAGGGGACAGCAATTTGGACTCGGTGCTTCTATGTACAGTGGCATGCATGTACCTGGAAGGTGGTAGGGACACTGACTGTGCCTGTCTGGGTAAGAATGTCTGTCTTGTCTGTAGGGACAGTTTGGGCCTCGGTGTGATTCCCCTCCCAACCCCTGCCCTGAGTGTGTGTGTGTGTGTGTGTGTGTGTGTGTGTGTGTGTGTGTGTGTGTGTGTGTGTGTGTTTATGGCAAAATGACACTCTCTCTTGAGTGAAATCAATCACATGACTCACTCACCCTCCTGGCTATTTACAAAAAGCACCATGCAGAATCCACGTGTTTACAGACACAGATGCTTCTGTGTGGGGTCAGGTTGACTGGGAAACTGGCCAAGCCTAGGATCCAGAGCTGGCAGGCAGCTATCCCAGCCTCCTCAGTCTCCCTAAAGCCCTGGCCTCCAAGCCTGGAGACAAGCCCAAGAGTATTGGCTCAGAGCCACCCCTACTCCAGTCCCCCCAGCAGGGAGACATTCCCAAAGGGTTTTTCACAGTGCTTGAGTCAGCTTTAGTAAATATCAACTCCATGGTGGGTCACAGAAGTGTAGTCAGAATGAATGGCTATCAAGAAGAGATGTCTGTGCCATAGTGACATGGGGGGGGCGGTTACTAAGGAGACAGAGACAGAGTCAGAGATGATAGATACAAAGGTAAAGAGATGGATCAGTAGGGATAGACAGACAGACAGAGACACAGATTAAAAAGAGACAAAGATAGAGAATCAGAGAGACAAAGACAGAAGAATAGTCATGGAACAACATAGGTAAAGATCAAGAAACAGGGTTAGAGAGCTAGAGTTGGGAGCCAGGGAAAAGAGAGATATACAGGGTCATACAAAGACAGATGCTATAGAGAGAGACTCTGGAGGTGGGGACAGACAGGCAGAAGGGAACTGAGGGAAGGGGAGGCTCACTGCAGCCTTCCTCCTGGCCATCCACACACTCTCTGTGGGTTCCTATTGCACACGGTTTATTCCTAGCCAGGCCATGCCAAGGATGACATGCTTGTCTTTTTTGAGACTATAACTGGCAGATTGAACTATGTCTTCCTTAAATTTATTTTGGGGTTCTTTGAGATAGGATTTTACAATGCAACCCAGTTGTCTTGAAACGTATAGTAATTGTCCTGCCTCAGTCTCCAGCATGCTAGGATTACATGCAAGTGACACCATGCTCTGCAAGTCTCACATTTCATATGTTTCCATCTATTTGAGTGGTTTGGGGATTTTGAGGCACTAGAGGCAGAAGGCAGGGTCTCACACATGCTAGACACATGTCAGACACATGCTAGACACATGTACCATCCCTGAGCTGCACCCTCAGCCCTCCTGTCTGGTTACATTCTGCTGGACTGATGTCCTTCCAGGACTGACCCTGTCTGTGAGGCAGCCTTTCACAAGCCAACCAACCAAGTCAGGACCTATGCTCCAACTGCCACCTCTCTAGGCTCTCACGCCTTTGGGCCTCCAATCTCCTGTCTGTCCTTTTCACCTCCATTGACCATCACATGACGAGGTCAGCTTCCCTGTCCCAGATGATTCAGGAGGGCTGGTCCTGGTCTGGGTGTCTGACCTGACCTCTTCTCTGCCATGGAGGCACCATCTCTGTACTTACCTGGCTTGCAATGCCACCCAAGCAGCCCCTGCTTCCCTGCCTGCCCTACATGATACCCCAGGCGCCCTGCTTCCTAGGGTGCCACTACACTTCCTGCTCTTCACGGCACTCATGTTCATGCCTACATGTCTAGCACATCTTGTTAAAGCAAATTCCAACTAAATTAAAACTCCTGGCTTCCTGGAGCCCTTGACACAGAAAGAAGGTGAAACTCAGTGGAGACAGGCAAGGTGACATTGGTATACTGGTAACCAGACACTGCAGAGGCTAGCTCAACAGGACAACATGGGCGACAGCCTAGCCAAACAGACTTCTGCCAACCACAACAGACACATCAGCCCTGGATTCCCTATAAATGACACAGGCTGCTTGCTATCCTATAGAACACTAGAATTTGACCAGCCGAGCTCAACCCTAACCCATCACAAACATTGTTTTCTCTGCTGTAAGAGAGATATGACAGTTAATGCAGGAGTTAAATGGCACAGCATGTTTTTCTATTAAACTCGGTTAATCCTCTAAGCACTGAGGGTGTTACCATCACGGTCCTTTCTTTGTTTTGTTTGTTTTTGCTTTAATGAAACAGTTTCAGCAAAGTTAAATCTCTTCCCCCAGGCCACACCAGCTTGTCCAGCGAGATTCATGTTCAGTTTTCATGTCATTTTGAACACAGCTCCTGCAAGTGGACGCAGCCTTTCCCTGTCCTGCCCCCTCCTCCCACCCCCATACTAGCCTGGGAGTGCACCAACGGTGGCCGCCAGCCTCACACAGCTTGTTCTTTAGAGCAGGGTACATGCTACATCGCTTAGTGACCCTCAGCTCATGAACGTGAAGAATAGAGAACAAGGGTGACATCACTACTGTTTGTGGCCAGAAGGCATTGAAGACTTACTTAGACCCTCACAGCATCATGAGGTCGGCGCCATCAGAGCAGCTGCGTGTCCCCATGTCACAGGCTTGAAGAGTGGGAAAGGCGATCTAACTTTTCCACCATCAGGGACAGATGGAAAGATCAGATCTTGCTTCCTCTTCTGCCACCTCGATCCCACATGCCACATGGACTCCACACCCCTAGTGACACAGCCCCTATCCAGTACTAGGTACAGGCATAGCCATGGGAGTTCTTAGAAAGTTGAAATTCACACAGCCCATTATTTATTTGTTTATTTATTTATTTTGTTTTGTTTTGTTTTTCAAGACAGGGTTTCTCTGTATTGTTTTGGAGCTTGTACTGACTGGAACTCCATCTGTAGACCAGGCTGGCCTCAAACTCACAGAGATCCACCTGCCTCTGCCTCCTGAGTGCTGGGATTAAAGGCTTGCGCCATCATCCCTGGCCTTAAATCTTCTTAAATTTGAAGTTGTGTTTTTAACTGGCATACAAAGTAACAGGTTTCCCTGTGGCATTTTTATACATACTTAGTCCCCTCCCCCCACTTCTCTCTTCTCCCTGATTTGATCCTGGCTGCGTCCCTCTACCCCAATGATGGGGGAAGTCCTGTACATTTGTTAATAAAGCACTGTTGGCCAATAGGAATCTAGATGGGTGGGACTAGGAATCCAGGAGGATTCTGGGAAGGAGAAACACAGGAGAGTCAACATGTAACGCCATGGGGTAGGAGCCCGGAACTATTCTCCGGTAAGAGACATACTTAGATTAACAATTATGGGGTAATTACTTAAGTCAGAGCTAGCCAGTAAGAAACAAGCAAAGGCGGACAGCTTCATAATTAATATAGCCTCCTGTGTGTTTATTTGGGGACTACAATGCGGCAGAGCCCAGGCGACTGGCGGGGGATAAACCAAAGAGGCTAGCAAAGAAAAAGCTGCTCTTAATACCCCGATATTCCTTTTCCTCACTTTCAAATCTCATGAGCTCCTTCACCCTCCCACCCGCCTCTTTTAAATCATCTTCCCCCTCTAGTTTCCCAGCTGCTACCCACACTCACTCCTACATACACATATAAAAATCAGAAGCTGGTTTACACATGCAAGAGAGAATAGTCTGTGTTTATATTCCTGAGCCTGGCTAACCTCACTTCTTATATTTTCCAGCTCTATCCATTTTTTACCTGTAAGTTTCACAGTTTATCTTTTCTTTATAGGTGACTGAAACTCCATTGCAAGCCAGTGGCACACGCCTTTAATCCCAGCACTCGGGAGGCAGAGGCAGGCCAATCTCTGTGAGTTCGAGGCCAGCCTGGTCTACATAGTGAGTTCCAGGACAGCCAGAGTTATACAGTGAGACCCTGTCTCAAAAAACAAAATGTGTATATGTACCATAGTTCATTATCAATTCTTTGTTGATGGGTATCTGGGTTAACTCCATTTCCTTGCTACTGAAGTAACAGCATTTTGCATGTAAATGGAGTACCTGTAGATGTGCCCTCACAGCAGGTGGGCTCAGTAAGAGTAGGAACTTATGATAGGGGCTGACGCCCTGCACCTGACATTGACCAGTGTACTCTAGATTTCGCAGCAAGCCTCCTGCTCACAAATGCAAAGCCTTGACCTTCTCCAGAGCACAGCAGATTCTAGCTGAGCAGGTTTGCTCACACTGTACAAAGCTCCCCTTTGGGAGGCCAGCCCAGAACTACAGACTGTTAAAGGACACGGTGCACTTTACAGAGTGGGAGGAAAGAATTCAGTCAATGGTCACAGTGTGGCTGCATGGCATCTGGCCACTGACAACTATGACATGTGACTCTAAGTCGTCAATTCAAAAGTGAAGTGTGGAGAAATCAGTTTATGATGACATCAGCGCCTAGACACTGTCCCCGAGGTACCTGGACTGTTCTTGTATTTCTTAGAAGAGGTAGGTGCATGGCAGCCAGTTCTAGCAGCTATGATCAGGAGAGAAGTTTCAAATAAATAACTCTGAGAAAGCCCTTTGGCCTCTAGAACATCCAGTTCCTCCTCTAAAAGCCTCTGACCTCCTGGGACAGCCATGGTGACGTTACCAAGCATGAATAAGGCTATGCACAGTCAGCTGGGTCCCTGCCAAGGCAGCCAGCAGTCAAGAGTCCCCCTCCCCCTGCCAGCCTTGGTTAAGTCTTGCTCTATTTGAGGATGAACTACATGAAAACAGACTCCCACAACCCGGAAAAGCCAGTACCTGGGCAGTATTCTGGGTGAAAAGGTTTCCGTAGCTTGGGAGACAATAATGGCACAGTCAGTACGGCATAGAGCAACACTGCAAGGCCACCACTGGTCTGTCAGGGCTGAGAAGCCACCCAAAGCCCAGATGTGTGACAAGTCAAGCCTGTTTTCCTTGCTTTGAGAGCTGTCCTCAGGAGACCCATTGCTGAACGCATTTCCCTCTGAGTATGATGAGGCAGGGCTTGTTCCCCAGCCGGGATAGACAGGGAGGGAAAGGCTGTGATACGGATGAAGATCACCTCCAGGTGCTCACACACTGGTGAGGACTTTGGGTCCTGGGACTTGTAGAGCCAAGTGCATCATTCTGGCTGTTTTGTTTTGTTTTGTTCCCTCTGTAATCAAAATGACCTCTCCCAAGGCCAGCTCCGTCTCTACCCAGGCTCCCATTCCCCACAGGCCCTCTAGAGCAGTGGTTCTCAACCTTCCTAACGCTGTGACCTGAAACACAGTTCCTCATGTAATGGTGACCCCCAACCATAGTTATTTTTGCTGCCACTTCACAACTGTATGTTTGCTAGTTATGAGTCAAAATGCAAGTATCTGGTATTTCTGATGGTCATTTGATCCCAAAGGGGTCACAAGCGACTCACAGGTTGAGAATCATTGCCCTAGACAGCAGAGATGAAGCCAGTTCTTTGTAATTACCTCCAGCAACCATGTTCTCTTTACAGATAACATAAAGATATAGGCTACTTTGAGTCTGAGTCATAGTTCAAATGTGCCCCGGTTTAAAAAAAAATGGTGCCATTGTCTCTGTGTCTCCAAAGGCAAGCCACAGAACGTGTACCTCCAATTCCTCAGCTATAAGACAGAGAAAACCGTTACTCCCAGGAGTAGGTCAACATTTGGTAAATTAAGACCTTGGAAACCACATATATGTGTGTTGGGGGTAAGGAGTGGATCAGAGACGCCCAAGGTAAGGAGGGGCAGAGGATATGATGGGGGAAAGGGAGGCCTTGGAGGAACACTTACACACACCAGTACCACTGTGCTAACCTGGTCCCTTGTCTCTCCCAGTGTGCCACATTAAGGACTTCAAGCTGGCGATTATGGACCAGAACACTGAGTGAGAAATGACAGTCTTTACTTAGAGAGCTGACTAGACAAGAAGGTGGTCAGGTTAATCTCCAAAGCACGGGTTCTGTCTTGCGTCTCATCTCTTGCCAGCAGGCTTTGTAGGGAAGGGTGGAAACAAGGGTAGTCCATCAGTCCTTCCAGGGTTCAGTCTCCCTCGTTGTCTAGAGATCTGGACTCGGAGACTTTGAAAATGTTGACTGGGGGACAAGTGAGGTGATCCATCGGGTATAGGCTCCTGCTGACCGGAGGTCAATCCCTGTGTCCCACATGGTGGAAGGAGAGATCGAGCTCTCACAAGTTGCCATACATGTGAACCACCATGCATGTAACACCCACACCCAAAATAAATGTAAGGAAAACTAAAATGGCCAATATGTTTAGAGTGCATCGGTGTCAACATAGCACTCTTTCATAGTGACCTAGGCTTCAGAATTAACTCATAACTTTAGCACTGTGTACCCGGTAAGCTATTCGTGACCCATACATGCAGATTCCTTTTTGCAATACACAGCACAAATGTCCCATACAATATAAAATATAGCAGGTCTCCTGTTCATCCCTGCTGGGCCCTAGAAACTCCTCCATCTGGAACACTTGCCCGCAGATTCAATGTCATTTCCTCTGTCCCCTTCAAGCCATTGCTCAAATAGCATCTTCCCCTGAAGCCGCCACTGGTGCCATCTGCCCTCCTGCTCAGAACCCTCCCCTGAAGCTGCAGCCAGTGCCATCTGCCCTCCTGCTCAGAACCCCAGGTCCCTGTACTCTGTTTTATGTTTCCACCCCTATAACACATCACAGAGAGTTTGGTTCCACTGTGCATGGCCTATCCCGAATGAGAGCTCCAGGGAGGCCAGACTGTAGTCTGGGTCTGTGCCCTGTGGGCAGATCTGTTTGGGAAGTTTCTAACACACTTCCCAGGTAGATCAAGTGATAGTTGCGGAGCATCCAAGCACATTACTTAGCCGCACCTTGATTTATTTCTTCATCCATTCAGAGCAGCCTTTCTCCACAACCTACAAAAACCTACTCTCTTTCCATTTGGAGCCCTAACATTCTGCACCAAAATGACAAAAGAACAAAACCGTGCTTTGCTCTGATGAACCTTCTTGGACAATGACACTCTGACACAGACAGGACCTTATGTAGTCTAGGCTGATTGCAAACTCGCTATGTAGTCAAGGGTAACTTTGAACTCCTGATCCTCCAACATTCACCTACCAAGCGCTGGGTTTCCTCACAGGACTTCGGACACCTTCCGGGACTCAGCTGTGAGGTTGTCCCCAACTCTCCAGCGCCATCTAGTGTGCACAAAGTATCCATCCTCGCCATACAGAAGTTCCTTGTAAACCACAACACAGTTCAAACAAAGTCTCTATGATTGACATACATAGGAAAAGCTGATCCCTGACCCCAAATAACCCCAAATAACATATCTTCCTGACTTCAGCCACTCTCAGACTGCAGTACATTCTGAAGATCTCAGGGGAGGGTCAGAATTGTGTTCATCTCTATAGCTTGAGATTTAACAAAAGGTATTTGAGCCAAGTCTCATTTTCTGGTGACTTTTATCAGAGTAAGACATCCGTAGAAAAGGAGCCTGGACAGGTCTTGTCCTACAGTCCTCTGTGATCCAATCCAGGCAGCCCCAGAGCCCCATGTCCCTTGGAGGGAAGTAGAGAAGGAGGCATGAGAGCAGGGAGTAGAGGAGGAGGCATTTGAGGGAACACTTAAGTTCTAAGCACTGTGTGCTGAGCACCTCACAAGGTTTAGGGCACAAAATCTAACCCTGTTGTTGTTTTGTTTTGTTTTAAACCAGAATCAGCTGAAGAGTTTGCTAGCTAGCATTATACATTCTCAACCGTTGCTCATCAGCTACAGATAGCAAGCAGATGAGCCCAAACTCATGTTTGCAAAATGCCGTTTCCCAAGTGGACCACTTGGATCCACTCTGACTCACTGTCTTTTTCCCCATGTGCTGACACCATGAGCATTTCTAACTGGATAGAAGCTAGACACTTGATCTCATCTCGACTCACTGTCCACTGCTAAGTGTCTACCAAATGGCTATTAATAAACTCCATTTCTGCTCAGGTCAAATCAGGTAAAAGCACCAACCAGCTAGGCCCCCTCCCCTGCCTCTTTCATATTGAACTTCTTTGAATTTAAACCGCTCATTCTTAGATGATGAGAGTTCGTTTAAGAGGTTCAATGAAACTCTTCTATTGTTAGCTGGAGACGTTTTATGTATCCAGTTTCTATTTGTCAATGCTGGCCACCCCTCACAGAAGGGATGAGCTCCCTGGGAGACACCTGGCTTGAGCATCTTGTCCGATGGCAACAAGCACAATTTGGATCTTGGGCCCTAGGGCTCCCTGCATCAGTGCTCTGCAGTGCGCAACTGTAGAAACTCAATGGCAGCTCTGACCTCATTTGATAGAAGTGTCCATCACGAGCTGCCACCTGACAAGAAAGCAAGCAAGTGGACAGACAGAAGGAACTCTACCGTGCTCCCGGTGTGGGTCCTTTGTCACTCTCCTCTGCTTATTCTTCTCTCGGAGCCTTTGCCTCACCTGGCCTGTGTTTTCTCAAGCACTGGAAGGGCATGGGGGCCTTGTTTTACACGGGGAGGGGGGGCGGGGAGGTCCATCTTCAGCACTGAGGAGAGAGTCTGGCATATTTATTCCTTACTGACGGATGTATATTTGTGTGCGGGTGTGAGTGCCCAGAAATGGAGGCCAAGGTGCCTTCCTCAATCACTCACCACCTCAGATTCTGGGCACGGGTTCTCTCGCTGAGTCTGGAGCTCTCGGATTCAGCAGGGCTGCCTGGCCAGCAGTCCAGGGATCTGATGTCTCCGCCTCTCCAGCACTTGGATTATAGGCACACACTGCCAGCTCTTTGTTTATTTTGGGTTTCTGGTATTTTTGTCTTGTTCTGTTTTTCTTTCTTTTGTGGGACAGAATCTCACTGTGTAGCCTTGGCCAGCCTGGAACCCACTATGTGCTAGAACTCACAAAAGTCGGCCTGCCCTCTGCCTCCTGAGTCCTGGGATGGAAGGTGTGTGTGGATGCTGGGGTTCTAAATTCAGGTCCTCCTGCTTAACAGGGCAGCATTTTCCAACCGAGCCAGTGCCCTCCCTGGCTCTCCTACTGAAAGACAATCATATATTAGTCTTGTTTCAGGCAGACATGAAATTATCCACTTTTAATCTCAAAGAAGGGTGGAGGAAGGAAGGGAGGGAAGTTGGGAGGGAGGGACCCATCTACTGAGATAATTTCACGAAGGAAAGAGACCTTACACTGGCCATATCTGTTCCTTTTCTCCTCACTGAGAACGAACAACAGAAAGGGAGGATTCTTTATATTGGCTCCTGCATTCAAGGCTTCAGCCCATGGTCACCCGGCTCCTTGAACTTGGGCATGGCTGTGACCCAAGGCAAACCAGTCAGCAGCACCCTCCATGGCCTCTGCATCAGCTGCTGCCTCCAGGTTCCTGCCCTGCTTGAGTTCCTGTCCTGACTTCCTTTGGTGATGAACTACAAAATGGAAGTGTCAGCCAGACAAACCCTGTCCTCTCCAGCTAGCCTTGGGTCACAGTGTTTCATCACAGCAATAGAAACCCCGGCTAGGACAGGCGTATTCTGGAAGTCTCAGGAGGCGGGCCTTCCTGGCAGAAGTGGGCACTGGGAGTGTGCATTTGAAGGTTGTAACAGGTCCTGGGTCTTTTCTTTGCTCTCTGCTTCCTGTCAGCCATAAGGAAATGGCATCTCTGGACAGTTGTGTCAAGGACAGTGGCTTTGTTTACAGGCAGCAGACGGGAATTTCAATCCAGGGACGGTGGACTCCAGAGCCTGGGTGCCCTGTATTCTCTATCCAGACCAGTGTTTCTCAACCCGTGGGTCGTGACTCCCTCACAGGAGTCACCTAAGACCACTGCAAAACACAGATGCAACGCAAGAGGTTCTTGTCCCAGCTGGTCCCATGCCCCTTGAGTCCCAAATAAACACACAGATGCTACATTGGTTATAAATCTGTTGGCCAATGAGTAGGGCTTCTTATTGGCTGGCTCTGCCTTAATTATTAACCCATTTCTATCAATCTATGTATTGTCACGAGGCTGTGGCTTACCTGCTTATATCCTGATTCTGCCCAGCTATGTCACTTCCTGTCTGTCTGTACAGATCTCTAGACCTCCATGGTTAGCTAGTGGCAAGTTTCTGCCCAGCTACGTTACTTCCTATCTGGCCAATCAGACAATCAGTGTTTTATTCATTAACCAATAAGATAAACATATATACAGAAGAACTTACCCCATCACACAGATATTTACATTATGATTCATGACAGTAGCAAAGTTACAGTTATGAAGTGGCAACGAAAATAATTTCACGGTTGGGGTCACCAAAACATGAGGAATTGTATTAAAGGGTTGAGAACCACTGCCTTAGAAAAGGGCAGTCTTTCTGCATGTGATGTCAGGGTACCACCTGCAGGGGGTGCTCAAGACTCCCATGCTCATCAGATACTTGCCAGCGTGGACCCTAGGTGCTGGAGCAGGAGCCATTGTAAAAGGCTGTCACCAGACATCCCTCCCTCCCCACATTATCTCTCTGCACATTACTTCCTGCAATTTTTCTCTCTGACCCTCCCCCAACCACGCCCCCCACCCCCAGTGCAAAAGCTCTTGGACCATGTGAACAGGGGACGCAAGCGCTCAGCCTGGACAGCTCTGGGCCGACACAGGCCTTGTTCCCGATAACCAAAGTTCCTTGAAGAAAGCAACCCAAGGAATCCCCAGTCCCTGGCCCGGAGTCTGGAAAGAAGAGGCGACACCCCAGAAGCAGACATGCTCTGTAGTCTTCTTGCAATCACATCAGCTGAGCCTACAGGATCTGAAGTAGCAGGCTGGGCCTAGGGTCCTGAAGGGTCACCTCCCTGGAGAAAAGGGCATGACCCAGTCAAAGTGTGACTAGGATGCAAGGAGGTCACAGTGCCAAGGAGAAGCTGGGGTTGACTAAAGGTCTTGTCTGGATGAAGTCTACGCTCAGGGTAGGGTCATGACTCCATGTGTGTATGCCCTCCTGAGAGCGCTGTGTTGGACCAGCACCTAAGCACATGTTATAATATGCATGCATGCATACATATGTATATATATGCATGTATATAATACAATTTTATGTAATTATAATTTATAATATATGTCCCATGAGTCTCATGTCCCACAGCTTGACCTTCAACTAACTATGCAGTTAATGATGCCTTCCACCTCTGACCCTTCTCCCTCTACCTCCCCAGTGCTGGGATTACATCCATGCACCACTGAGCCTTGTTTTATGCAGTTCTTGGGCTCAAACCCAGGGCTTTGT